CGCTTTACACAATTGATGTGTGTATGGATTGGGATAACAGTTGTATGAGCCCCTAATAAAATGTTAAAAAAAAAAGAAAAAAGAATGCCCATTAGAACAACAACAACGCTAAAAAAAAAAAGAAAAAAGAAAAAAGCAGGAAATATTCAAATTTTAGAGCAAATTTTAAATGGGTCAAAAGGGAGAACGAATGATCAGGTATTGCATTTTAACTTCATTACATCTGGAGAGCACAGTTTACAGTACTCCATGTCTGATAGCAAGGCTATTCACATCCCTGGTCTGAGGGGATTCACCATTTGGGACCCTACAAATGGATTTTGGGTTCCCACTGTCATCCATAGCCTTCTGCAGGAAAGGTCCATTCTTCATGGTAAATACCTTTTCAACAATATGGATGCTTAGAAGAACAAACAGCATGTCTTGGGAGAAGTACAGACGGAATGCTCCTTAGAAGGGAAGATGGGAAGACTTAGGTCTCACCTATGTTGGCCATGCTATCAAGAGGGATCATGATGATATCAGGAGAGGCCATTATGCTGCATGAAGAAGAAGGTCCGTGAAAAAGAGGAAGACATTCAATAGGACACATTGATTCTGTGGCTGGAAGGAAAGATTCAAGCATAATACCAGCTGTGCAGATGCCACTGGTTGGCGCAGTATTTGGTCTGTTGTCATAGGATCACTCTGAGTCAGCATCCACTCAAGGGCAACTAACAACAACAACAACAGCAGCAGCAAACATATTCCTTCCTGAAAACAAATGACAATCTTCTTCCCTTGAGGCTCCTTCAACATAGGTTCGCTATGTGTACTTGCATGAGGATACCTGGCAAAGGCAATGAATAGAGATCGAAATACAGCCTACACTAGGCTCCCTAACCAGGCTGCACCCTGGATCAGGGTTGTATATCCTGGATGAAGGGAGCACCTTTTTCTAATGTTCACAAAGACACTGTGTAGACCAGCCTGATTCTGCACGTGCACATAGCTTCTTCCACCCTGCACTGAAATGCATTGGCTCTCCTTCCAAACATTTTCTCACTCTTAACATGTGAGCTCATTTCAAACCACTAAATTCTTCAAAGATTAATATTTTCCATTTTCTCTTGAATGAGCACATCTATATGTGGCAGAGACAACATAGGAAAAATATGCAAATTCCAGCCCATTGACGTCCCTATAATAAGTTAGTATTTAGCCATCTGGAATTAGATTAGTTGGGAGGCCAGGGAGGAGCAATGCAAGGGAGAAGCCTCCAGAAAGATAACACTTACAGTGATCTTATTGTGAATACGCATGGCTGACTGAATTAGGTGGAACAAGTTTAACCACTGGTGGTGCAGGAATTAAAGTACTCAGCTGCTAGCTGAAAGGTTAGGGTTCAAACTCCCCTGCTGCTCCAGGGGAGAAAGGAGGCAGTCAGCGTCTAGACAGATGTACTGTCGCTGAAATCCTAGAGAGCTTGTTCTGCTCTGTCTTGTAGGGTTGCTATGAATTGGAATGGGCTCAATGACAGTGGCTTTGGATTATTGGCTTAACTGGCAGAGAATTCCATGATAATAATCCAGGTTTATCATTGCAAACATATCACAGTATAACACAGAGGACAACTCTATACTCCTGTCACTCTGCCACTCTTATTCCCCTCCAATTTGTTCTATAGTGCAAATGAAGTCCAAGTATTCTGTAGGCAGACACATTATTCATTGAACAACTGGCCCACGCCCTAAGGCAGGGCATTTCATGCCCAACACCATGATTGAAAATATAGTGCCCATGTGTGACCAGAGGGGAGTGCCTCCAGCAAATATCAGCTCCGTCAAGTTAGAGAGCTCAACACTACTAACCCACACCAAAGACATGCAGATGTATTTGCATTATCTGATAGGGACTATCGTCAGCATAATACAAAGCCTACAATGATGATTGGGTGTTTTGAGACCTTCAGAGAGATATTAAAATTTTGCTACTAAAAAACACACAAAAGACCAATGCTGGTCTTACCATCCTGGCTCATCTAGCTGGCAGTTTGGTTGCTGCGAAACTTTATCTTCTGCGTGAATATGAAGGAGCTTCAAAAAGTTTGTGGAGAGTTACACCTGAAAAATAATGGAATTTCCCCACAAACTCTCTGAAGACCCTTTGTACAGTCGATTGAAGTAACGCAGCATTACATGAGTTCCTATGCACATATTTCTGTGCAAAATCAATACCTTGATGGGAAACACGAACTCACTAGTAAAGGTTATTTTTGTGAATTCTATGTGGAGTCCTAACTAGAATCAGAGGCTTCACAACAGGAGGTTGTGGGGAGTGCAGCCTGCACTGGATGACACGCTGTCGGGGCTAACACCAAAATGAATGTCTATAAGACTTTTGTGCACAGTTTCAGCAGAAATGCGTTACTCAATACATATATATCATTAGAGTTAGCTATAACAACACATGTTTTTCAGCTCAGCATGCACCAATGTACTTACAAGGTACAGTGTACCTACAAGACTAATGGCTTTATGCTAATTTACTTTTTGAACCTTCTAATGCACTCCAGAGCCCCCATTATTACCCAATTACGATGACCCGTGAAACACAAGGTGTCAATGCTTGTGCTACAAGCACACACTGCTGTTCTTGTTGCTGTTGGTGTTTGTGTGTGTGTTTTATTTTTTTACATTTTTATTGGCAGCTGTTGGTGTTTTTATAATTGATGCTTTTGTTAAATTTTCGGGTGTTTTAGTTACAACATTGTGTTAATTAGTAATTGTGGTAATTAGTCTATCAACAACTTTTCTGAGAATGAAGTGGTCATTAAAGGAAAAGGAGGAAAATAAGAAAAGGTTTCTGCTCAGATCCTATGAAAGTTCTAGTAATGTTGTTCAGTGCAGAAAGATTTAACAGCAATTTTATGATTAGTATTTCATACAATCTAGGAAATATTACATTGAGCGAGTCACAGCCATATGGACCACATATTATTCTATGATTAAAATTGACAATAAACATTACGGAGGATTCTGTGTGGTCTGGTAGAGGAGGAGGTTCATGGGCTGTTGGGGGAGAGAGTTTTACCACAAATTGTCAAGCTGGCACCCATCCCAGTGAAACCACCGACTAGAGTGGGGAGAGCAGTGCTCATTTAAAGACCTCCGGGCGGGCAGAAATAGAAGGCCTCATAACGCATCGAAACAGCGTCAGAATCTCAGCGCTAGCTCTTGTCCCCCTGATATTATTGCTACTTAGATGACGCCGTTTCTGGGTAGTTAATATTAGCACAATCTCTTTTTCTGCTTGCTGGCTTCCTAGCAACCTGATGCAGAGTATCTGCATGCCAATCTGCTTTTGCTAAAAAATCAGAACAGGAGCTCTAACGCATTTGCCAATAGTCCCGAAGAGCCAGGGATGCGTTCAATAAGTTCCAGGTTGATTTTTAAGCCTGGCGTGTGATTGGTGTTGGCACCCTTCTGACCTGCTTGCCCTTTCTACCACAGGCCAGAGAAGATGTGATCCACATGCTGAAGACGGAGAAAACCAAGCCAGAGGTTCTGGAGGCTCATTACGGGTCTGCGGAGCCGGAGAAAGTGCTTCGGGTGCTGCACAGGGACGCCATTCTTGCCCAGGAGAAGTCCATCGGAGAAGATGTCTATGAGAAACCCATCTCCGAGGTAACCAAAGCAAAGCAAGCAATCGCCTAGAAGGGGCTCTCAGGGCAATACGTAATCTTTAAATCTGCCATTTTACATACTTTATATTATGTTGAAAGGCAAACATTTAAATGATATGCTAACATAGATTAAATATTAATACTCCATAGGTGATACTGGATAGGTTTCAATGATAAGCATTTTAGAAGTCCTTTTCCAAATTTAAAAGCCAAAATGGATTTCTCTCGATGATTCTGACATCCTAATTGCATGGCCTTGCAGTCTGCTGTTCTTGTTCTTCTCTGATGTGTGTGTGAAACTTTGGAAGGGCTTCTCTGTTCCAGCATTGAGGTGTGGGGATTAGTATTGAATTGGTAATCCCAAATGAAATAGGTTCTGTGATTGATACTTATGGTTCTAAACAACATCAAAATGACAAGTCTGAAGCAACTTAATACAAATTTAATTTATTTAATTATGCCAAGCCTTGCAGTAGCTCAGTGTGATGGATCTCAGGGAGAAGATCTGCTTTGGGCAGTATTGCCAATGGATTGATGGTGACATACTTTGCCAATGTTGGCAACAAAGGTAAACTGGAGCGTCGTCGTCACCCTTTCTCCCGTGGAAGGAGGCAGACAGGAGAGGAAGCACCAAGGGGAAGCACCAAGCCCTGAACCACCTTTCTATCCCTCCGAGGGCTTTGGGCAGGTCACTTAGTCTCTGTCAGCCTCACTTTCCTTATCGAAGAGGTGAGGGTAACAGAGTTGTGAAAGTTAAATGAAGCAAGCCTCCAACACGCTTAACATAGTTCCTGACACATGCTAAGTAACCAAATCAAACCTATTGCCATCCAGCAGGTTTGGACACAGCAATGCAATAGGGCAGAGTAGAATGGCTCCGTATGGTTTCAGAAGTAGCAATCTTTATGGAAGCGTCCTCCCAGGGAGTGGTGGGTGAGTTTAAACTGCCAACCTTTTGGCTAGCAGCCCAACACCGAACTCACCGAACCAGCAGGGCTCCTACATCCTCGGTACTCAACAGCTGTGCTCAAAATTAGTAATGCCTGGGATTTGAGGTTAATGATTGCTCATTCCCTTAATTAGCTCCAAACTTAAAGGAATTTGAGGAGTAAAAGAAATATAACAGTCTAATACCTGTGACATAACAGAGAAGTGCTGGACTACTAGCCAAAAGTTTGAAGGTTCTCACTCACCCAGAGGTGCATCGGGAGACAGAGGCCTGGCCATCTGATTCCAAAAGGTCACAGGTCTTGAAGACCACATTAGGCAGTTCTACCCTGCATGAATGGCATCACCTGGGGTCAGAGGTTCAACAACAGCATAAAAAGACTCACTGCCATTAAGTCGATTCTTACTAATAGCAACTAACTAAGAGGACGAGTAGAACTGCCCCTGTTGGTTTTTGACACTGTAAACCTTTATGGGAGCAGAAAGCCTCGTCTGTCTCTCCAGGAACAGCTAGTGGAGTTGAACTGCTGGTCTTGTGTTTAGCAGTCCAACATATAAACCACTATGCCACTATGATTCCTCAAACCCAGTGCTAGCAAGTAAAAATTCCTATTCTAATCTCCAGGCTGGATCATGTCCATTTCCCATAATTGACTTATTGAAGGGACATTTATCAAAGTGAAGTTTGAGTAAATTCTTAAAACACATACTAAAAACTGATTGTGGTGATTACTGCACAATTCTTCTTGAATATATTAATCTATTGAATTATATGATATGTGAATTATCTGTTAAAATGGATAAACAAGAAATAAATAATAAAATAAAATAAAACTTTAAAAAAACACATGCAATGATCATACTACTAACCTCATACTCAACTTTAAAAGAAAACGTACAACATTTTGATCTCAAGACTTAGAGTCAATCCAGATATATGTTACTCTTACCAAAGACCAACCAGAATTGCAGTCAGTCTACTAAATCTAACCTTCCCATCCCTTTGAGAAGTTTCCCATCAAGAAGGTGGCCAGGAGAAATGGGAAATCTAGGTTGGGTGGAATAGCTGTGATAGCACAGTGGTTAAGTATTTGGCTGCTAACCTTTCCCAATCTGTGGGGAAAGGTTGTAAAGATCATAGGTGTGGAGATCCAGTGCCACGGTTCTACTCTGTTCCACAGGGTTGCTTTCCATTAGCATCTACTCAAGGACAGTGGTTTACTTTGGTTTGGTATTTAGGCTGAGAGGAGAATTCTGTTTACATATAATATCCCTCCCCTTAGAGAACAGCATTGGAAATCTCTCTCTCCCTCTTTGCAAAATTTAGGCCTTTGCATTGATGATGTTCTTTATACCTACGTCTTATGCCCTAGTGGTACAGTAGGTTAAGCATTAGCCTGGCTACTGAAAGTTGGTGGTTCAAATATACCAGCTGCTCTACTTGAGAAAAGTTACACAGTGTATTACCATAAAGATGTATAGCCTTGGAAACCCTATAGAACAGTTCTACTCTGTCCTATAGAGTCACAATGAGTCAGAATCGACTTCCTGGCAGTGGGAGTGGGAAGTCTTGATAGATGCTGTACTTGCCTCCTTGTACCTGTGATCAATTTCTTCTATGCCCTTGCTCAGGCCCAGGAAACGCTCCTCTAAGAGTGATTTTTCCTATTGCCCCATTTGTTCCACCTGGAATATAGAACTCTGTGTGTCTTGGATCCTATCAGGGAACATACTGCTGTCAAGTGTTACTCTTCCTCAAATTTAGCCCTCCTAGTATATTAAGGAGGAGTCCTGGTAGTGTAGTGGTTAGTCATTGGGCTGTGATCTGCATGGCTGGAAGTTCGAAACCACCAACAGCTCTTGGGGAGAAAGATTGGGCTTTCCACTCCTGTAAACAATTCTAGTCTTAGAAACCAACAGGGATTGCTTTGAGTCAGCTCTGACTCAATGGCAGCAGTCTTGGCTTTGGTTAGAGTGCATTAAGGCACTCTGGTGGTGCGGTGGATGTTGCATTGGGCTGCTAATTGCAATGCCAGCAGAGCAAACCCATTTGTTGCTCAGTGGGAGCATGATGACGCCTTCTGCTCCTGTGAAGCTTTACAGCCATGGAAACCCAGCCCGGCAGTTCTGCTCCATCCTACAAGATGGTAATGAGTCACGGGTAGCTTGAGGACTATGAGTTTGAGTGTTTGGTTTGAATATCTAGGGACACAACTTCTTCTGGGTGGTGGATATAGTTGTTAGGTGAAATCGAGTCTGCTGACTCATGGAGACCCTATTTACAACAGAAGGAAACACTGCCCAGTCCTGTGCACTTTATGCACTAGGGAGGTTCAAGTGAGACTTTCTTACCATCGGACCAGTCCTCCTTTTCACTCTATCACTGTTTTATGACATTTAACATTTTTGTTTGTTTGCTTTATTTCGCTTATGCTTTCAGGTCCAGACTTTTCCCCGATACTGTATTAGCTTCCATCGTTTGTATTGTGGGGTATCCATAAGTGAGAGAAACAAAAATCAAGGAGTTCTGGGTCTGCCAAGAGCATCCTTTGTCCAATTCAAATTTTATCTACTTTCATCTTCCTGGGTTGGGTAATAACCCTCATTACTCGGTCTTTCCCCGTCACACACACTCATGTTTGGATTGGACTTGCTATTGCCTTGCTTGAATCCCCATTTGTCTCTCATCTTCTTTCAAATCCCACATCACCTGGTCTCGTAGGCTTGTTCACTCGAGGCACAGGCAATAATGGCTGACAACCTAAACTCACTCCATCATGCATAGAGTATCTTACGATTGTATTTCTTTATTTTAGTTCTTAAATCTACCCACATGTTCTACAAGCACCTTGAATAGCAGTTGCAGCCTTCAAGAGAGGGGCCTCCATTGATCTGATGACGGGCTCTGCCTGCAGTTTGACAACATTCTCTTCAATTGTTTCCTGGACTCCAACACCCTCTTTGTCTGTGGAGGACACTGTACTTTTCCGTGCACTCTCATGTCACTTCTTTTTCCCCCTTTTGATTTAACAGTGACTAAGACACCTGCCTTTTTTATAGTCTTATCTTTCAGAGCACTGAGAACACTTCCCTTGCAGGAAAATCCAGTTTGGGTTTAAAGACTTCATTTCCAATAAGTAGCACCCAAACATCAGCCGAGGCACCTCATTTTATCACAAAAGTGCATTTAAAATGTGCTGAAAAACTCGGCTTATACTCGAGTATACACGGTAGATTTCTCCCTTCATGAGTTCCTTCCTGTGTCTGCAGTTAACCCTCTGCGGCAAGCATAAAATCATTTCCTGAATCATGACCCTTTTATCTAAAGCATTCTGAACTTTCTCCCCTTAAGTACTTGCATTCCTTCTCCGCCAACTCCGTCTGCTGGAATAAGACGTCCAGGCTTCCAGGTATGCTTTTTCCTTAGTAAAACTTTGGCCTTTGGTCTTAGGATGATCTCATTCAAATTTCCTTGCACCTCAGTCCAAGTGGAAGCTGTATTTCCACATTAACAAGGGCTCTATTCCACTTTCACTATTTATTAAGTAAACTACCGTTCCTCTATGGCTGAGGTCACAGCTTGGATCTTAAAAACCAGAAGCCATGAACACAGCGTATATGATTAATGGATCTACAGGTTCCATAGTGATCAGAGGTGGTATTGGGAACCTCTGAACAAGCCACGTCAATCCAAGCGGTAGCTCAACCTCATTCCTGTCCTTGGAACTGGATAAAATTCCCAACAAAACCCTGTATTGGGAAACAGCATCTGGTACAGCAGGTTGAATGCTATCAATGCTCATTCTTATCCCCGGATTTTAAAGCTTAATGCCAGATCCTCACACACCAGTGCTTTATCGAAACCCAACACTCATTGCCATCAAGCCAGTTCTGACTCATAGCAACCCGATGGGTCAGAGCTGAACTACCTCATTGGGTTTGCAAGACTACAATCTTTATAGAAACAGGCTGCCACATCTTTCTCCCACAGGAGAGCCGTAGGATTTGAACTGCGAACCTTTTGTTAGCAGCCATGCACTTGACCACCGTGCCACCAGGGCTCTGCAGTTTAAGAGCGGGGCTGCAGTGCTGCTGAGAAAGGCACTGCGCGCCTCAGTGAAACAGCTACACACACACTTCGGCAGCCTGTGTGTTAAGACACAAAAGGAATACTTTTATGCGAACATAATCGTTGTTGGGGGCAAGCTGTCCTACTGTAGGTGAGGCACATATTGTCCACAGAGATGCTCGCAAATGATTCCACTGGCCCAGGCCCAGAATTGTAGCGGCTGCAAACAACCAATCTCAAAGATTCACAGGGGCAGAACTTACTGAGGGCCTGCCTCCTGCCTCTTGGCCTAGGTTTTCTAGTTGAGCCAGTTGACTGCCTCAAGGCAATCCCAACTTTCTCAGACTAGACCCATGTTCCACTGGGGTTTCTTTGGTCCTTTTTAAATGTTTCCTTGTGATTTGGGTGAAGATTTACCGAGCAAATTGGTTTTCCATTTAATAATTCACAACACATTTTGTTTTGGACATTGATGGCAATCCCCACACTATAACAGCAATCTTTCTTCGCCTCCCGGTGTTTACTATTTCATTCTTTTTTCCTCTTCCTTCCAGCTTTTTAAGCTTTATTCCTGGACAAACGCTGCCCTTTGGATCTCATATGACTGATTGTTCTAAGGCAGTGGTTCTCAACCTTCCTAATGGCGTGACCCTTTAATATAGTTCCTCATGTTGTGGTGACTCCCAACCATAAAATTATTATTTTTAAATAATCATTTTATTAGGGACTCATACAACTCATCACAATCTGTACATATGTCATCTGTGTCCAGCACTTTAGTACATATGTTGACTTCATCATTCTTACGACACCCGCTTTCCACTTGAGCCCCTGGTGTCAGCTCATTTTTCCTCCTCCCCCTTCCCCCCTGATAATTCATAATTTATAATTATTTTATCATATCTTACCCCATCCAACGTCTCCCTCACCCACTTCTCCACTGTCCGTCCCCCAAGGAGAAGGCCACATGTAGACCTTGTCCACTGTTCCCCACTCTCTCCACTGGTCCTGGGGGGTTCATCTGTCCTGGGTTCACTGTATTTCCAGTTCCTATCTGTGCCAGTGCACCTCCTCCGGTCCAGCCGGATATGTAAGGTAGAATTGGGATCATGGTAGTGGGGTGGAGGAAGCATTTAAGAACTAGAGGAAAATTGCATATTTCATTGTTACTACACTACACTCTGATTTGCTCCTCTCCTCCCCACAGCCCTTCTGAAAGGGGATGTCCAATTTCCCCCGGATGGGCCCTGGGTCCCCACTCTGCACTCCCCCTCATTCACAATGTTATGATTTTTTTCCATAAAATTATTTTTGTTGCTACTTCATAACTGTAATTTTGCTACTGTTATGAATCAAGTGACCCTGATTCAGGGTCTGTGAAAGGGTCATTTGCCACCAAACGGGTCGCAACCCACAGGTTGAGAACCGCTGTTCTTAGGCGTGTGCTCCTCCCTCGTGTCCTCATTCACATACATTACAGTCCTGTCTGTCCGTTAGCTCAAAGCTGAACCATAGGAGTGAATTCATTTTCAGGCCTGAAGAGTGTTTAGGGTCATAGTCTCAGGCTTCTGTCAGTCTCTATGAGACTCAGCAGCCTACTAATTTCGAATTTTGTTCCAAAGTTTTCTCTTACTCTACGCAAGGTCCACTGGCTTGTTTTCTGAAGTAGATCACCAGGCCTTTCATCTGAGGCACCTCTGAGTGGTCTTGAACTTTCAATTAGCAGCCTAGCATACTAACCATTTCACACCTCCCAAGGTTTCCAAGTTGCACCAACAGACTTGCTATCCCAGTGTGTTATTTTGTGCTCCCCAGGCCTGTGCAGTATCTGTTTCTTTAGATTTCTCAGTCAACCATATAATTAATAGTATGTCTACCTTCCACTCAAGTTTCTTGAATGGGTTGAAAGGTAACAGTAGGAGTCTGACAGATTTCAAACACTGAAAATACTTCTTGTGATAGACGGGGGAATGACTACCACTGGACTTTCTATTACCTTCACTCCAGTTTGGGACATTGGAAAACACATCTATGAGATCGTTTGGGTACCCAGAGCGCAGTGAGCCATCCTATGGCAGGCTTAATAAAACGCAAGCAATGAAAACGCAGAGCTGCCGATGGTTAGTCCCTCATCTCAACTCTAAGCAGCAGACAAGTCACCTCACCTTCCTTGAGGAGAGCTAGGGTAGATTCTGAGGAAACCGGTAGACATGTTCTTCCAAATACTTCTACAAAAGAGGAGAGTCCAACTTGATAGCAAGTAGGAAGGGTCAAAAGAAGGGAAAATTATTCCTAAATTTTGGTGTGCTGTCATCCTGTGGAGCTAACCCATTGGGATTCAGAGAACTGTTGTGGGGGTAAGAATGGGTTTTAATTATGTCTGTTTTAATTCGAGTAGTGATTCCCAACCAAGGGAGAGTTTTCCCCTCTTGAAACATTTGGCAATTTCTAGGAGCCCTGGTGGTATAACACCTGGTGCCCCATGGGAGAAAGATGAGTCAGTCTGCTTCTGAAAAGATTTACAACCTTGGAAACCCTGTGGAGCAGTTCTACCCTGTCCTATAGGGTCACTACAAGTCTGAATCAAGTCGATGACCATGGGTTTCTTCAGGGAAAACTTTGATTGCCACAACTGGGGGAGTGCTACTAGCTAGCATACGAAGGGATACCCCCCACCCCAATGGAAAAATGCTCTGCTGGGCAGAGCTATCATAGTACATACATTTCCCGCTAGGTGAGCATCAAGCAACTTGCTCTGAGTTAGTGCACCCAGTGGCATCACCTAGGAAGGTCACAGTGAATTTTTTCATGAAAACAGTTTTCACTGGAACCTCGTTTTTGTGAAGACCAATTTAAGAGAACATCATGCAGCTGTGAAATTTTGTTTGCTGCTCAGGAAAAATGCCGCAGAAACAAGGATAGTTCTATGGGAAAAACTTAAGTGTATGAGTGGTTTTCTCATTTCAAAGAAGGTGAAATGTCAGTTGATGACAAACCTCATCTGGACATTTGTCAACTTCCCAAAAGGATGAAAATGTCAACTCCTAGTGCATTTGGAGTTCATTCCACCAGGTCAGACTGTTAATCAAACTTTCTGAAAAGATTGCATAGCAGTGTGCTCACAAAAAAGGCCTGATTTGTGGCAGATGGGGGGACTGGTTTTGCCACCATGATAATGCACGTGTTCATACAGCCATCTCATTGTGCCAGTTTTTGGCAAAAAACAGCATGCCTCTCTTGCCCCACTCACCTTATTTACCTGACCTAAATGAAGAGGGACAGGGAAGGACAGCACTTTGATGACATAGAAGAGATGAAAAAAACGAGGGAGGTGCTGTCAGGAATCCAATAGATGAGTTTGAAAAATGTTTCCAGGAATGGAATCGCAGATTGACAAAGGTATTAAGTGTAATGGAGAGTACTTTGAATATGGTTGTTTTGTAAAAAAAAAATTAAATATATAGTTTTGAGAAAAACAATTCCGGATTTTTTTGGTACCCCCTCGTATAGTGGGTACAGGCCTAGGGTACTACTAACCAGCCTGCAGTGCCCCAGCACAGCTCCTGAGCACAAAGAATCCCCTGGTCTACAATGTCAGTAGTGCTGAAGTTAAGAACCCCTGACTGGAGTTTGAAGGGGGAGAATAGGGTAATGAGTAATAGAGCACAATGAGTAAAGGAGGGAACTATGGATGTGTAGTAGGCCCTGGTAATGCAAACAGTCCAGTACTGGTCTACTAACTGAAAGGTTGGCAGTTCAGACCGACCCAGAAGGCCCCTGGAAGAAGGCCTCATAACCTGCTTCTGAAAGATCTTAGGCAGGAAAATCCTATGGAGCACAGAATGGCAACGGGACTGCCATTCATTAAAAGTGAGTTGATTGCAACTGTTTTTGTTTGGTTTTGTTTTTTAAGTCAATATTGTAAGCCTCTGTCCAAATTAACCAACATTTACTAATCACCAACTTTTTACCAGGCATTGGTCCCAAAAAAACCCTGCACAATTTTAAAGATTCTTGGAGAAATGTGGTCTTACTATATTTTGTATCTCTTGGAATAAGGGATCTGTGGGTCCTTCAAAACCTTTCTGTAGAAATGCATATAAATTCTTATCTTAAAAAAGACGAAGTCTGTTAGAATGATAATTACCTCCCAAAAGAGAAGCTTGGTATGTGAGCATGCTGGAATCTAAATTTTTCTGAAATTAGGAAGGTTGTTAGTTATGCTCTTTCTTTTGCGTATAGGGCTTTGTGCTCTCATATTAAAACACTACAACAGTTTGTTCTAAAATTTAAGGGGCCCTGCATGTGTTCATAGAAGAAAAAGCACAGAAGTCAGCACAGCATAGTTTACAAAACCAGTTAGCATGGAGAGAATGATGGCGTGGGGAAAATGACAGGTCACACTAGCCACAGTGTTCTACAAGACAGCTCCCCACCACAGTTACCTCATCCAGAATGTCGACAGCACGGAGGTTAAGAACCCCTGATCTTTGGAAACGGGAGTGAGTAATGTAGGGAACGATCAATATGCAAATGAAAGCAACTATTAAGCTCCTTTCTATGTTTGTTCACTTAGCTGGACAGACTGGAGGAAAAACAGAAAGAAACCTACCGGCGCATGTTAGAGCAGCTGCTGCTGGCTGAGAAGTGTCACAGGCGCACTGTGTATGAGTTAGAGAACGAGAAGCACAAGCACACAGACTACATGAACAAGAGCGACGACTTCACCAACCTGCTGGAGCAGGAGCGGGAGAGGTAAGGAACTCCACCCCCTGACCCAGCACATCTGGATGCCTGCATTCTGTTCATCTCTGTCTCCCCCTCCCACCCCCTTAAGTGACACTAATGTCCAATGACTCCACCTTGCACCTGTGCCAGGTCCCAATTCTGATTTCTAAATCATTTGTGACCACAGAGAGTGAGGATGGCTTTTTACCTGCATTATTACATGAATGTGTTTGGGGGTTATTTATAAGTATCTGTTGGCTGGGCCAATAAACAGCATCATTATAAATGGAGAAAACATTGAAGTTGGCAAGGATTTTATTTTACTTGGGTCTGCAATCAAGGCTCATGGAAACAGTAACCAAGAAATCCAAGGAGACTTTGCCTTGGGCACACTTAGACACTCTGCCTTGGTGCACAAGACCTCTGTAAGGTGTCAATTAGATAAGAAGTTGCTTTGAAGATAAAGATGGCCCTGACCCAAATGATGGTATTTTCAGTCCCCTGATATGCATATGAAAACGGGATAAAGAATAATGAAGATAGAAGAATTAATCTGTTTCAATTATAGTGTTGGCAAAGAATAATGAAATTATAAGGGTTACCAGAAGAACAAGGAGCCCAGTTGATGTGGTAGGCTACACATTGAGCTGCTAACTGAAGGCCAGTGGTTCAAACCTACCAGCCACTCCAAGGGAGAACAATGAGGCTGTCTGTTCCTGTAAAGACGTAACATCTTAGAAACCCAAAGGGGCAGTTGTATCTATCCTTTGGGGTCCCTGTGAGTCAGAATAGACTCAGTGTTAGTGAGGGTTTTTTGTTCTTATTTTGTTTTGTTTTGTTTTTTGCCATAAGAAATGATCTGTATTGAAAGAAGTACAGCCAGAAAGCAAGGGCAGTGAGATTCCGTTTCCTAAACTTTGGACATGCTATCAGCAGAGACCAATCCCTAGAAGAGGACATCATGCTTGGGAAAGTGGAGGGTCATCGAGGAAGAGGACGGCCCTCTGTGAAATGGATGGACACACCCACAGCTGCAACCGAAAACCATCAAGCTAGAGATTGCCATTGGCATTTAATCATCAATGAACCACCTACATTCGAAAAGCTTCTCTCTTAATTACTTTCTTTTCTAAGGAAGGAATCCCTTGGATAGCACAAACTAGAAGCTCTGGGGTTACCGGTTGGGTTCTACCTGCAAAGTCGGTAGTTTGAAACTACAAGCCGCTTTGCAGGAGAAAGATGAGGCTTTCTCCTCCCATAAAGAGTTACAGTCTCAGAAAGCCGCAGGGGCCAGTTCTGCCCTGCCCCATAGAGTTGCTATGAGTCAAGATTGCCTTGATGGCGGTGAGTTTGGTTTTTGTTTTGGGTGGCACAAAAGGAGCCCTGGTGGTGCCATGGGCTAAGCAATGGGCTGCTAACCATGTGGTCTCATGGCAAACCCATCAGCCTTTCCATGGCAGAATCATGCAAGACTATCTGCTCCCCTTAAGATGGACTGTCTCGAACCCCTATGGAGCAGTTTTACTATAGGATGGTGGAGGGTTAATCTGAAGGGCAGTGGGGTGGCTGGGTGGGTGGCACAAACAAGTGGTGCTGGTGGCACAAACAAGTGGTACTGCTAACTGAAAGATTGGCAATTCACATCCACCCAGAGGCCTAGCATCTGCTTCTGAAACCTCAACCATTGCACCCTCTGGGGAACAGGTTCTACTCGGACCCTTACAGGGTTGCCAGGAGTCAGAATCCACTTGACTGGGAAAGTTGACATAATCTGATTTTTCTTGTGGTTGTTGATCCACTCACTCGGGAAGGCAAATTCTTAACCTTAAGTATTTTAAATGAACCCCATTTATTCTTTCAGCCAGTGGTGGAATTTTTAATATTTGATGTATACATTCCATAATGATAGGAACTTCCCAAAGGTTACATAACTCTTCAAATTTAGTGTGAAAAAAAGAAATCAACCTCCTTGTATGGAATCTTGATACCGATTCTCGTAGGTGTTTTCTCTCCCCAGGGAATGCTATACTTGAAAAAAAGGCCTCATATTGAAAAAATTTGTCATAAACTCTTTCGAAACTACCTGAACTTTTTAGAATCTTCTTTCAAATTGCTCTTCTTTCCCTTCCCTTGGCTGAATGGGCGGTGCCTGTGGGTTCCACGGGCATTGAAGTCTAAGCCTTTGAGTTCTCAAGCCTGTCGGCCTGTGTTCAGGTCCCGCACATTGAGGGCCACTGGGAAACAGCCTTCCCTATCCTTGACCTAGCTTGAAACAGCTTTCTCTATCCTGAATAGATATTGTTGCTATCTGTTCATCTATTCAGTTCACAGAAGAGATCTGGGTTTCCCAGATTCGTTTACTTACCAGACAAACTTTACACACTCCATCTCCTCAATCTCTCTGAGTTTTCCCAGTCTCCAACTACAATACTTAACAGAAAAGCGATCACAGTAAGAGCAAATAAAAGCATGTTAGTCCTTCATTTTTATTCACATTTACTTATTACTGAATCTTTGTACAACCCTTGGAGAAGAAATGAGAAAACAGGACAATGCCCCAGCCTGGCTAGAGTGCTATATAGCACACTTCCAACTTATTATTATTATTTTTTGACGTTTGCCAACTGCTCCTTAAAGCTAAGGCCTGGCAGCTTCATGTTTGAATAAATAAAGAGCTGATTTGCTATGTTGAGATGATCAACATTGAGAATAAACTCCATCTTTTTAATCTCTCTGAGTTTTCCCAATCTCCAACTACCATATTACAAACAAGGTTCTCGGGGCAGTATAAATCCGTGTATCCACAACAGCTACCTGTTTCAGTGCCTTGGGTTTGAATGAGGTCAGGCGAAAAAAAGGAGCAAACTGCTCGATAATGACTTTCTAAAAATATCTGAAATCAAGTAATTTTGAAGAGCATCTGTGTGAGTTAATTATTTAGAACCAGATAGGGCTGGCTTTTCTACAATTTCCCACATACGCTAAATGTTGGAGCGGCACCAATTCACTTACAGAATTGTTTTACTACAGAGATGCAGATGCCAAAAGTAATTATCCCGACAGTTTCAATGTCTTCTTTTCTTGTTTTCCTGGCTTTTGTGTCCTGTGATTGTAATAGTATTAAAATAGGAGAGCGCTTTATTGTTGCAAATACGTCCATTGTACAGTCTATGCTGGAGGAGTGTGTTTGCCGACTTCAAGTTGATGAGCGATTCTCAACTCCTGGTCCCTTTTTGGAATTGTTTAATTGTATGAAAGGAGCAACAACAAAACAACCAAAGTCTCTCCTGAGCAAAGTGCTATGTAAAAGCATTTTAAAAACAAAGCGAACATTTGAGAATGATCTTAAGATGCACTTGGTACTTTGATGCAGCATCACTAGGACCTGTAACCCAACTTTGCTGTTTTAAATAAGAATTCAAGAGGCCTTGAACTCTCACTTAAGTATCAGGCAGCTTTCAGGTTTTAACATGGTATTTTGGGCCGAAAAGGTTACACTTTCGTATTTTTTTCCCCCTGTCGATTGTTCTTGTCTGATCAATAAAGCCCAGTAATACCAGCGCACACTTCTTGGGCGCACCATGACAGCCGCTAATAGTGATGCTAAATTGAACACCCTCCACTGAGACCCTGATAACTTCAGCTGGCATCTCTGCGAGGAGCTGTGATCTGAGGCGTCCACCATGACTGGCTTGCGGGGTCCCAGGCGGCAATGCCTTTAGGATTGCTCTAAGGTCATGCTTGCCTGGATGCCTGGTGCCCTTTGGAAAGGGCCCTGGCTAAATCTGCTTTGGGTTAAAGCCTCTTTTTGAAGTAAGCGGTCATAATTAGATCTACTTATGGGAGCTGGCAGGAAGCTGACCCCAGGCATGCTCTCCCGTTGCCTGAGTCCCCTCCTCCAGGTCACATTTGGGGCCGCCTCCCGCAGGGTCCTGCAGGCAGGCTTGGCCAGCAGATCAGCTAAAGCAGTGCCCCTCTCTAAGCCTAAGTGGGAGTCCTCGCGCACACTGTGCTAAGTCCTGTATTGGCTTCTTTGCACCCTTTCCCTTCTGAAAAGTCTCTTTTTGGGAACAGAAAAACAGAGCCAAGAACTTTCCTTCGCAAACATTTTCTTTTGTTTCATCCGTGAGCAGGAGTAAAGGAAGGCAGAAAGTGAGGCAAAGGCTAAGTCTAGGTGAGATGGTGTGATTTTGTTATGAGATGGACCGCTCTGCAGGCCGTCTCCCCAGCAGACAGCTTTTAGATTGTTGGTACAGGGGACAGCCCTGGCCCCCAGGAGCCTTCGGGTTCCCCTTCTGACACTCGTCTTGCTCTCTACTGTTTGCCGTTGACTTTCTATTAACTTCCAATGAAGAAGCGTCTGATGTGTTATTAATAGGGGTACAGCTATATGGGAACAGTGGCAGGGGTTGAAAAACAACCCAGATTTGGATGTGTAATGAAAACAGGATCATAAGCTCTTAAGGAGCCCAGAGGCCAGCCGTTCAAGATGCTCATTTTACAGGTGGAGAAACTGAGGCAAGAAAAACTGCAATTTTTGTTAACAAAATTTAAAAACCACACAGTGCAGGCCACTGGTCTCTCCCTTTGGTGCAAATGGGCCCTTATGAGGACACCTAGTTTTCTGTTGTCTTCTGGGGGAGGGGGAGGAAGGGGCTCCCACCTCCGTGTTTTTATGTCCAAACGAATTATGACACTGAATTTTAAAAGGCAGAATGCTGGTTGTTGTGAAGGTAGAAACGGAGTTGTCACATTCCATCTGTGGTAAGCCTGGACTGTCAAGATAGGAGAAACTTCTGGACAGCAGTCTGTTGAAAAGACTGTCCTGGGGACTTGACGTGAAGCAGAGTTTGCATGGCAAACACGGTGTCGTACTTAGATGGCATTTTAAGTAGAGTAGTTCTGGTTGGAGGCTGGCTTTGGTTATGGGGGAAACTAAATAAACGCCCCCTCTCCCAATCCCCTTGGTATAGCTGTTAAATTTGTCTTTTATTAAAATTTCATAGATATTTTTAAGTACCTTAAAT